ATAACCCCCCCCCGTAAAACATGTAGTGGACCCTTGTCCACACTAATGTCGTTTAGTTTATAGCGAGTGGAAAAAGATAGAAAAGACGAAAGCGAAAAATCGGTTTCCCCCGCCCTGAGCATTCGTTTTCTGCCCTGTCCTTTCTTCTAACTTCTTATGCGAGTGGGTCTACTCTTCCTCTTCATGGGGTAAAGAAAGAATAGCTATGGGGTGGATAGGACCAGTCTCCAGTCCGATACCTGTCAGTCCCGGATGTTTTTTTTATAGACCGAAATCAACGTTATAATTCATGATCGTTCCACGGGTCAAAGTCGAAATAAACCCCCCCCCAATAGGTACATCTTTACACAAAGACGTCACACGGAATGACACACCGATTTAAACTGCCCCCATTTCCCACGAGATGTAAGTGACAGCGTTTGGTAAAAGAGGTAGTACATAGACCTACGAACTCTCTAAATACTTGTGCTTGTCGTCCATAAAAATACGTTTTTAGAAATGATGATTTAGTTATTCTAGGTCGTAATTTGACAATGGGGAGACATAGAGGACTTAATTTAAGAACGAGCACTATTTTGTAATTATTTGGTGGTGTCGTTGGACGAGAACTGGGCGTACCGGTGTCGCGTTACACTACTACCTACTCCTATGAGGAACTGTCCTTGCCCAGTTTCACCTGTTCCACCTACCTACATGGAGAGAGGCCCTCGCAAGTTCAGAGGAGTGCCATAACTTATGACTCCTATTTAGACAATTACCCTAGCGCCCTACTGTAGTGACGTAAGACCATAACGTAATCTTTCACCAATACCGTCAATACAAAATTTTACGTGTTGTCCCAAAGGCGGGGTTCATGACAAAATCACAAATCGACTCCCACAAGTCGGTGACCCTAGGACTGCGGTAGAGCAGAGTACTAGATTAAAATCAAACAGCTGTCTGGCAAATTGTGTGTGTGGAAGTATAGTACATTTTCAAACCAGAGAAACAGTCTACTCCACTGTGTGTGAGTCTTATTTCTTTTTGGAGATCCGTATCAACCCATCTTTACCGAATTTTTTTATGTTTTGTCCAAGGAAAACTAACCCAACATACTCCATGATATCTCACTTCCACTCGTTCGGGTCAAATCTCTTTCGTTTGCCCTCATACCTTTACCTTCGACTCTTTAACATGAACTTGCCCCCTGGTCGTCAATTTGTCTGACACGGTGGAATTTTCATAATGGTAAAATTCACGTACAAGAAAGTCTTATAAACTTGACGGACCGGTGCTTTGTAGTAAAAGTTCTGCTTTTCGACAATACAAAGGAGAAAGTTTCGGTGGTCTGAGGTAAACTCTTTTTCCCAATAAAAATTAAACGTCTTGTGTGGCGACGGAGTGGCCCAAAGGAATCAAAAAACAACAAACAGAACCAAATTAAATTACGAGCATGACGATTCGCTTCCTGGTCCGCCAGTTTTGGGTCGTTTGGAGACCACCAGACAATTTCATTTTAGTGTCAAAAAGAGTTACTCGACCGCCGATTCTTTTCTCGTTCCTTTCTGAAACCAGAGGCAGACCTGTCGTTCATATGGGATCTTGACTGGAATAACTTTCACCAATTTTATTACCAAGCGAGGTAAGTAACGTGTGAACGAGGACACGGGGAATGACGGCAGGTACCAATATTAACAGAGTAAGGTCCGTGTAGTTTTGTGATCTAAAATATGAAATTTGTATTCCAAAAGACCACAGAGTCTACACATAGTGTCTCGGATACCCCCACTTTCGTCAGGTAAATTGAAAAAGATGGTGAACAAAACAGTTTTGTGAATTCTGAAGGAAGTCCAATAACCAAACACAACACCACTAACCCGCGGGCGGACCGATTCGCGGCGACACGAACATGTGTGGCTCCGAACTCGGGTAAGTATCTCCTTCGGCCCACTGTGCTCGACTTTTTCAGGTCGTTCGGCTTGGAAGCGACTGACCCACCCGGCTGAGGAAACCGGGTCTCTCCGTCATTCGTGGGACCGAGAGAGAGGAGTGTGGTAGGTCAGCCGGGGGACATCCTTGGGTGTACCACATAAGGCTCGCACATCTGGGTCGACGTTCCCCCTTTCCTCTCAAATTACGGTACCATAAACTGAATCCTCCGCCCCCACCTCTACCACGTTTTCGTTTAGGGGGATAGGGTGTGAAACTGAAAAGGAGTTGGAATACTGAAAAAAAGAAAAACCTATAAATCTCCAAACGAACGTCACAATTACCTTGGGTCATTTCACCTCTAATTAACACATTAAAATTATTGTAGACAAGGGGCAGTCACGAGGGGCACCGGTCTGTTCCGGATGGCAGTTCGGGTTGTCCGCGTTCGGATGAGGAGGAAGTGGAGTGGTGACAGTGGATGGTTGCAGAGTCATGGTCTGTCGCATTCACCATCAAACCACGCCTCCGGGGCAAATTACTCAAGTGGTGGTTGTGTTCAATTCGGGTCTATAAAGTAAACCGAGAGTTTCGGGCTACCCCGTTTAACCGCGAGTGTGACGCGTAATACGTAGAAACAATTTCTGACTATTTCATTTCGTAGGAGGTTACTACGGGCAAAAAACTTAGGGATAAAAAGACAGTTTGGTGTTCTGGGTTTCCTACATGAGCAATATTCCGGACTGTCGTGGTTTGTTGTAGTCCTCCCTTGGGGCCAAGGCGCTGGGCGCTCGCGACGGCGTATCGGGTACAACGTGACACAGACCGGTTTTTCAGGGCTGACTGTCTGGGGGATCTCGTTTGTCAGGGAAAATTATAGCGGTGGACACACTCTCCTTTTACCTGCGTCCGGTGTCATCACGACAATAATCATTAAGGTCATTCCTTAGAATGAGTGTGTACCTTAAAGACTTTGATTTGGCAGGAGGCAGAGTGGAGGTGCTCTATGTACTCTCCTCCCTCTCCCTGGGCGAACGTGTCAAACTGGATCCGGAAGGGGACGCCTTTCTCTCCCCCGTGCTTCCTGGGAGTGAACTCTGTGCTGATGCAGTGCACCTGCAGCACAAACATGTGATTGATGTGGAAGTGTAGAGGCAACAGATGGCACAAAAGACAGCTCAAAGTGTGAGTGTTTGTGTGGTTTGTATGAGACACGACGCGAGGGTGTGTTACCTGCACAAAAACAGAAGCTCTCTTGTTCAAGTCCCACAGGAACTCTGCTGCGTTGAGCTGGGAGGGGTGAGTCTTCGGCTCCACAATGCCCACTGACATGGGGATATCTGTCTCACACACACAGACACACAGATATTTGACCTCCGAATCACACACACACACAGATTGGACGGTTTGAGTAAACATTTCACGCCAGGCTTCATTACCAATGTCAAGGAGACGGTCGCCTGGACGATTCCACTTCCAGCCCTCCAGCTGCTGGTGCTCGGTGTACTGCAGCCGGCGGTCATGAAACACCACTCGCACTATGCTCTGCACGCACACACAGCAAGTTAGATATGAAGAGAATCTAACATGAGGATTAAATATTTTTCCCCCTCTAGCTGCAATGACCCTCTCACCTTCACCATCTTGTTGTTGATCTCAGGTAACTCGTCCTGCTTCCTGTTGTCCAACATACGCACCTCGTAAGACTGGCCTGAGAGAGAGAGAGAGAGAGAGAGAGAGAGAGGAACAGATCATCAGAAGAAATAAAATAACACATGATGGGTAGGGTCAGAAACATTGGATCTTCTTCAACTATTTAATGTCCTTATTGTCTCCGTAAAGTGTTATGCTCCTTTTATGTTGCGTTGCTCAGCGAAAGCAGCCTTTATTGTAGCGCTTGAGACTATTGCTAATTCAATTTTCCCTCTTTCCCCTCACATCTTGACATGCTTTAGTGTTATTATTCTTGTTTTATTATTGAAGTAAGTGACAGTAAAATGCAAAAAATGTTTGTTGTTTCAATGTGTTTTGAAAATAAAAGAACGGTGGAGTTGATGCCTTATCACTGCTTGCATCTGTTTTAGTATTCTTTAAATTGTAGAGCAGCAGGTGTTCATTGCACCATCTGACATATCTGGTGTTCCGATAGGCTGGGTACTTGACTGTGCATGACACAAAATAAATACTACCAATAACTCGAAGTTTGCACTAAAAAGGTAAGAAAAAATATAAACACCCATGTTGCTAAGCTTTCATTGTTGAAATACCATCAAGGTTTTGAAGAGAAAACATGTCATCAGAAGTATTTTATATTTTCACACCATCTCAATGCTAAATGCTGGAACCACTAAATTACTACCCTCTGCCTTAGATCTTGACTACACGATAAATTGTCATAGTGGGCACTTAGCCCACAACATGCTTATTGATTATTTCCCAGTGAAGCACATCATGACCTAAAGCCATGGATGACCAGAGCATCTTTAAAACAGCCGATTCTGCAGTTAATACATTTTTTTGCATCAGCAAACAATAGACCTAGAGTTGCAATTTAGCTACCCTAGCAATTTGGTGTCATTCCATATATGGAAAATCAATTTGTATATGAATTCTGAAAAATCCATGAAAGCTGGGCACAATAATTGACAGCTTTTGTCTTGCAGTAAAGCAGAGAGAAACTCTTTAGGGAACTTTGGGATGTTAGCCTTTGCAGAACATTTACATGCGCAAAAACCTATATAACACACTACAGGAAGGAAAGCCAAAATGGGGTGATTTAAAAAGGCTTGACTAGTTGTATTGTGTGTCTCACCTTGGTTCAGGTATGTGAGCGTCTCGTCGTGCAGCTTGATGGCAGGCGAGGTGGCGGCGCACAGCACATACTGGAATGGGGGGTTTTTGGTTTCGCTTTCAGGAGGAAGGCTGGAGTCCTCCTGCTTGAAGATGGGCAGAGCCAGCACATCGCTGAGAAAGAGAGAAAACACAAGAGAAACCAACAGGAAGTCA